GAGAGAGAGAGAGAGAGAGAGAGAGAGAGAGAGAGAGAGAGAGAGAGAGAGAGAGAGAGAGAAAGAGAGAGAGAGAAAGAACATGGGGCGAGAGAGAAAGTATCTGGGTTGTATGTCTGCGCAGTATGTTCGAGAAACAGACAGTAGAACACGTGCGTTCGTGCGTGCGTGCGTGCGGGTGCACATACACGTGCGGGCGTGCATGCGTGCGGGCGTGTGCACGTACACGGGCGTGTGGGCGTGTGCACGTACACGTGCGTGCGTGCGTGCGTGCGCACGGCATAGAAAAGCCGAACTCGTAAAGCTAGCGATTGAAGCGTGAAGTGGGAGTAAACCCCAAGTAAGTGTGAACCTCTGTTGCATAGTCTCATTTATTAATTACGGTGTCTGTACTGTCCATACTTATTTAATTATATTATATATATTATATTACTTTAATACTATTCTGATTAGATACATCTAGTTTAAAGTAGATTACTTTTACAAATGTAAGCAACACACCTTTCAATATAGGTTGCTATGTACGCTAGCGATATCGTGCTCTCCAGAGGCACTTGGAGCGTTTCAATCAAATATAATGATAAATAAATACGAAATCTATTGTTCTATTTACTACCAGTCTTAATGTTTCTTTGCTCTCCTTCACCTATTATTGCCGACAAGCCGTGCTGCAAATGCTCCAGCTACAGCAAACACACGCCCACCGCACGCATGCTGCTGCGCTGCTGCACGCTTACACATAAATATAGAGCAGGTAGGAAAGCGAGATTCCAAAATTCGCTCTACGCTCGCTTCATTTCCCATGATCAACACAAATATTCAACCATTTTACTTGGCTGGTTAATGTAAATGGCTGTTTGAATCAGGAAACACCTACCGGCGCTCTTTGTGACGTCATTTTTGCGCCGCATTATAGCAACGCTCCACTGGCGGCTTTGACGAGGCTCATACGGGAGTTGGAAAGCTGCGTGGTAGTTTCCCAAAATGCAGTGCGCCGCCTATAGCCCTGTACTTACAGCCATTTACATTAACTGCGCAACGGGAGCGAACGCGAGAATTTCGTCAGGCTTTGTGTAATTTCGCGTGACACAGCTCGGTTACAAACACAGACAGTATGTTCCCATAACAAGTAAACACTGGCCTTCAAAAAGAAATAAAGATGGAGTAGAATGGTTGAATATTTGTGTTGTAATCGTGTGAAATCAAGCGAGCGTCGAGCGAATTTTGGAATCTCGCTTTCCTACCTGCTCTATATTTATGTGTAAGCGTGCAGCAGCGCAGCAGCGTGCGTGCGGTAGGCGTATGTTTGCTCTGGCTGGAGCATTTGCAGCACGGCTTGTCCGCAATAATAGGTGAAGAAGAGTAGAGAAACATTAAGACTTTGGTAGTAAATAAATTACGTATTTATTTAGCATTATATTTTATTGAAACGCTCCAAGTGCCTGTGGTGCTCTCCTCTCCATAGAGAGGCGGTACCAGTGATTACCACCTATCCCAGCGTGCAATGCACGAGCGATATTTGCGAATAACACTATGATAGATGGCCCCCATCCCCTTCATGAACTCTCTCATGATAGACTGGCCCCCATCACCTCCCAGAACTCCCTCATGATAGATGGGCCCCCATCACCTCCCAGAACTCCCTCATAATAGACTGGCCCACCCATTCCCAGAACTCCCTCATGATAGACAGGACCCCACCCATTCCCAGAACTCCCTCATGATAGGCTGCATGGCCCCTATCACCTCCCACAACTCCCTCATGATAGACTGGCCCCCATCACCTCCCACAACTCTCTCATGATAGACTGGCCCCCACCCATTCCCAGAACTCCCTCATGATAGTTGGCCCCCATCACCTCCCACAACTCTCTCATGATAGACTGGCCCCCACCCATTCCCAGAACTCCCTCATGATAGACTGGCCCCCATCACCTCCCAGAACCTGCTCGTGTTAGACCGACGCCCCACTGCGTCAACCCTAGCGCACCTTTCCGTAGTGTGCGACGGCGTCCATTTCAACCTCGCGAGCGTTCTCGATGAACTTGGAGATGACGACAGGATGCTCGAGCGAGACGCGCGTCGCCTCCTCCAGGAATCCGCGCAGCTGCTCGGGCCCGTGGCACACGTTCATCGCAGAGCCACTCAGCACAAACGACGGCCGCAGCAAACACGGGTAGCCGACACACGCGCAGAACTCCAATGCCTCGTCCTGCACGCCGGGAGAGTAACAAGTAAATGTTAGTAAACACGCCAGAACAGTGACAAGTGAACATTAGTGTTGCGGCATGTAACTTCAGCGCTTCGTTCTTTGTGGGCATGCGCCAAGTGACAAGTGAGCGTTGGTGCTGCAGTAAAGAAGTGCCTCGTTCTGCATGCGCTCAGAGGTGATGATGAAACGTTAGCTGCATGTTTCACACTAGCATACGACAATCAAATGTAGTTACAGTGCACATGCTGCACGACAAGCGAACACCATGCACGCTGTGCAGATGAAAACTAAATGCTGTACCAGGTGACAATGGATATGTTGTGTGACAAGGACGACAAAAGAATGTTTGAAATAACGACAACGCAGTAGAGGTGCAACAAGAATTTAAAGCTAGAGCTACATTACGAATCCCTATAACTTGCATTACTAAGGTACGGAGCAGTCATTTTCTCACACACAAAAATCATACATGCAAATATATATTGTATGGTCTCTATAAATTTGACCTTCTAAAACAAAATATGAAGATGTTAAAAGACATGAGTATACATAATAGTGAGATAAACACACGCACCAGTGACGTGAGGGCCTTCCAGGCAGGTTGGTCGATGCCAAGACGATCCAGGATGGCTGAGAAAATCGATCTGTAATGAACATGAAAAGTGTCAATTTCTACTTCTGTGGAATGTTAGTGCAGACCATAACATGAGCAAATTAACAATAACTTGCACAATAACATAATTTAACAATACTGAGACAGCTCATGTGATGTGTTTTGAAGTTTAATTAAAACGCAATAACAAACACAGCTTCTAACTTTGAATAGCCTCAGTGCTTACTTTAAATGGATTAATCCCCCACCACCCCCAACATCAGTCGACCGTCCTCCGCTACAGGTCTTGGCACAAGTTTTGTACAAATAGATTACTGGTGAAACGCTCAGTAAAACCCATAAAAGTATGTTAGTGACTTGCAGCCTCTGCACAAACAAACTCCTTCCAGAAGAAAATAATAATACAACTTCTGGTAATTGAATGAGAGGGTATTTGCTAGGTACTGTGAGAGTGTAAGTGATAAAGACAAGGTGACAGTGACTGTTTGCAGTGATGAGACGTGATGAGAAGTGATGAGATAGCGATGAGACAAGGATGAGACAGCGATGAGACAATGATGAGGCAGCGAGGTGGTGCTGAGACAGTGATGACACATGAGGCTGCACCTCTCCTCAGCGGCGTGTATCTTCAGCGGACTAGTGCCGAGCACGTTCACACCGTGGCTGTACAACGGCAGCGCGAGGTTGTTCGGGATCTGCCCACCCACAGACACGATGACGCCGTGGCAACCCTGCAAGTAAGCACAAGTGGGTGCTGACAGCTGCAACTTCTATACATGCCAGTTTCAGGGGATTTACATCATTTGGTTTTCATTCCCCCTTTTCCAGCAGTGAACGTGAATTAAGTTTTTCTGTATGGCGCTGGCAGTAGCCCCGAGGAGCCCAGTAGCACAGGCACGCGGGAACAGTGACAAGTGAATGTTAGTTTTGTTTTCCTGTAGAGGGCGCTGGCAGTAGCCCCGACGAGGAGTTCGTACCTCGTGTTGGTAGATGTCGAGGATACGTTCGAGAGACAGCTCCTCAAAGTAGAGGCGATCACACTCATCAAAGTCTGTGCTGACGGTCTCCGGGTTGTGGTTGACAACCACCTACGTGACACAGGAATCGAAGTATAACACTTATAAGCACCACGTACCGACGCCGATGCGTCAACGCTGCCACGACGTGTTGTTTCATGCACTGTTCACATTCTAAATTCAATGAAGAAGTCAATGTTTAAAGAAAGTAACGATTTAACAAATCAAGAAACGATTCCACGAAATAAATAAAACCAGCAATAAAATAAACAGTAGATAAAACAATATGAAATAATAAATGAATAAAATAAATAAATTCGAGAACAACAATAAAAATAATCGAGAAAAAAATGCGGTAATTAAACAAACGATGAAAAATCAGGGTTCACTTGTTTCCTCACCGTCTTGCGGCCCAGGTTGCGCAGTGAGCGGATGCAAGAGACGGCGCACCAGTCGAACTCGACTGAACTGCCGATGTGGTAGGGGCCGCTGCCGAGCACTGCGATGCCGTTGTCCGTGAACGTTACATCGTGTTCCATGCCGTTGTAGGAGCAGTACAGATAGTTAGTCGTTGCAGGATACTCTGCTGCCATCGTGTCGATCTGTACAAAAAGACGCACAGTAAATAGCCGGCTACAGCATCATCACAGACCAATCAGCATAATTTGCAAGAGTTATGCACAACGGAACAATATAATATTAGGGATTGAGGGGCACCAGCCTGCACCATTAGATGTGGTATATCTTAGCAAGACATGAAAACCCAGTATGGTGTACAACTTTAGGTAAATTCACGACTTCAGAATCCAGAATTAATAATTATTTTGGTACGCACAATATACCACCAGACTATTTCTTCCAGGTGCAAAAATACCAAACTAACAAGAGCCGCAGAGCGTCTGGGCTCATCTGAGGTCTGTTGCTACGGTTATAAACGTAACATTTAAGTTGTGCGTAGTGACACCTTTGTTAGGTGCAGATATGCAGATACGCAGTTGCGTACACATCATTTCAGCAACCTTCTGCATTCTGCATACCTCCCAAATCCCATTGGTTGATACAAATTCCGTGCCTGAAACTCCTGTTTTATGGTGCATTGTGACCCTAACCCTAATCCTAACCCTATTAAAAAAAAAAATTAATTGTTGTAAAAATTATTTATTGTTATTAAATTGTTGTAAATAACTCATGTAAATATTTGCGTTCATTGGAAAAAAATTGTTAAATGGATAAAGATAAACAAATACAGAAAACAGGTAAATAATAAAAAACCTGATGGGATTCGATCCAAGGACCTTTGAGCCATGACGCCTGTGCTGTACCCGTTCGACTATCCAGGCTTATTGGGTTTCTAGATTATGGATGTGCCATGAATATGAGAACACTGTGACATCATTGAGGCAGTTCAGGAATTCATGTTTAACCCTCCTCTTGAGGGTCAAAAGGTTACCAGACATTTACTCTTCGCACGTCAGTAGAAAGCACATTTCATGGTCCTTTCAATAAAGTGATAAAAATGGTAGGTCAGCGCTGAAACAAAAAAGTTTTTCACTCTGTCCATTAGGCTATGTCCTCAGAAAATGTCTGATATCTGACCTTTCTCCCACTGCCCTTTGACCTGTGACCTCCAATTTCGCACTGGTGATGGGTTTCCTGTCCATCACACTATACACTGAATATTAAGAGCATAGGTCGAGCCGTTAACATTTGTGCCGCAATTCCGTATTTCCTCCTATACCTTCAGTTACGGGGGAAATATTCCCCCTCCGTTTACACATTTAGCGTTCCGTTTAACCTTTGACCCCCAAATTTGTCATCCCGAGTCCTTTTCACGACCCCCCCCCCCGACGTCCCGAATATCAGGACCGTACGTCGAGCGGTTACGATTTGTGCCCAACTGTTCACGCACGGACGGCCGGACGATCATGCGATTATACAAGCTGCACCTGACTATGTTAGATGAGCTAAAAACGTTTAATTACTGATACTAGGCACATAGTGGATGTTTTAAACTGTTTACACCATTTCTGCTGTCAGCTGAAATATAATCAAATTAGCTACTTTGAAATGACTACACATACCTGTAAATGATTTGCAATCGTTAGAGGAAATAGCTATATTTCTGACATGGATACGAAAATGAAGTTAGAGCATAAAAGTCTATTACAGACATTTTGATATGAAAATCTTGATCCCCAAACCGGGTGAGATTGGTCTACACTGCGTCCCTCACCTGCTTCACCCACGGCCGCACGTCCATCTTCAGTCTCGCCTGACGAACCGCATCCTCGGTCTGGCCAAGCAGACGCCCGACCTGCTTGTCTGAGAAGCCAGCCTGCTTAACTGTCAGCATCTCGTTCGTCGTGATCGTGTCTCTGCAGGAATCGGGTGCTACTTGCTCATTTGGGTCATCCTACATTTGTTGTTGTTGTTGTTATTGTTGTTGTTGTTGTTGTTGTTGTTATTGTTGCTGTTGTAGTTGTTAATGTGACGATTACCCTTAAGGTGGGCTTATGTCGGGCTTGCGACCCGACTCGACTGGAAGCAACTGGCTGCAATTCACTGCGACTGCAGTGCTTAGGTCGGTCGATGGCCTCCGACTGGCCGCCACTAGTTGCTCGGAATAGAACAGTGGGCAACTGGACACAACTAATCGCTGCCAATCGCTTCCAGTTTCTCGAAATCCAGTTGCTTCCAGTCGAGTCGGCTCGCAAGCCCGACATAAGCCCCCCTTTAGATACTGAACCCTCTCCTATTTCTCGTATCCCTCTAAGGACGACACATGCATTTACTACAATGTGAGCAAGTTCTGCAGGAACTGGAATGAATTCATCAGTGACCCTCTCATCATTGCTGCATCCCTTCGATCACTATAGCTCCCTCCACCCCATTAACTACAGCATCGCCATCAACATCCCACTACATGCACGACCACAGGGTTTCATTTCCCCAAGTTTGAGGACCAAGACGTAGATCTTTGTTACACAATAACCAAACGCAATGGCCATGCACATATCTGACGAATCCAAAGAGATTCGGAATAGAAAAATTTGCTACACAATGTACTACATGTGTTTAGAAAAGTAACTTTTCGCACACGCTTTAATTACTGTATACGCCATATTTTTCGCGTACAGATATTTTCGCGAATTCAAACTTGACGGGCAATTTCGCAGTCAGTGAATTCCCGAATCAGTGAAGAACAGCGTGTTGTTATTTTCGCGTGTTGTTATTTTCACAGTCAGGGATGCGTTCGGAAAATTCACGAAAATTAAACCACCACGAAATATACAGCGCATACAGTATTGCACACGTGGCCAAGCATGGTCGTAGAGCGGCCGTGAGCGCTGCTGGCAGGCGAGCGGGATGGCGTGTACGCACATGTTCATCGTGCTTAGCTCCTTCTCGATGCCGATGATGCGCAGCAGCTTGTTGAGGAACCACGGGTCGATAGCCGTCAGACTCTGAATCTTTTTCACGGAGTAACCGTCATGCAGAGCCTGCAAGGAGCACCAGAATCAATGCCTGAAATACCTGTCCACATTCTCTCCACATGCACTCAAACAAACAACACAAACAAACAAAAATCAAAGAAACAGACAAATAAAAACAAGCACATTAAAACAAGTTATTTTGAGGTGTAACGCACTTTCTAGTGGCAATTGGATAACCTACTATAAGAATGCTGTCAGGACTTGGTGAAGGAAAGATCTACGCGAGTACGTGTAAACAGCTGCAGCTGCACAGCGGGCGGGAATGCCGCATGACCTTGGCGATGGTGTGTAGTCTTGTGTTTGAGGGCATCTTGACACTGGCCTCGAGGTCAGTCTCAGACATCTCGTCGTGGATTGCGTGTGTGAACCCGTCGACACTTGGATGAGTCATACGCATCGCTTTCTGCAGGCTCTCTTCGAATGTGCGCCCGATAGCCATCACCTAAACAACAATAACAATGTAAACAAACGTGCGCCCGATAGCCATCACCTAATCAACAATAACGATGTAAACAAACGTGTGCATGTGCCTGATGGCCATCACCTAAACAACAATAACAATGTAAACAAACACGTGCCAGATAGCCATCACCTAAACAACAATAACAATTAATGTAAACAAACGTGTGCATGTGCCTGATGGCCATCACCTAAACAACAATAACAATGTAATCAAACGTGTACTTGATAGCCATCATCTAAACAACAATAACAATGTAAACAAACATGCGCCCAATAGCCATCACCTAAACAACAATAACAATGTAAACAAACGTGCGCCCGATAGCCATGACCTAAACAACAATAACAGTGTAAACAAACGTGCGCCCGATAGCCATCACCTAAACAACAATAACAATGTAAACAAACGTGCGCCCGATAGCCATCACCTAAACAACAATAACAATGTAAACAAACGTGCGCCCGATAGCCATCACATAAACAATTTGTGATAAGCTTGTATTCGGACCACGTCGGTGCCGACGCTAACACGCTTTACCTCACCAACGCTCTTCATCGAGCTGCCGATCTCCTTCGACGTGCCGTGGAAGCGATCGAGATCCCAGCGCGGGATCTTCGTCACGATGTAGTCGAGGCTCGGCTCGAAACAAGCCGTCGTGATGCGCGTCGTCTCGTTGCGAATCTCCGGCAGCGTGATGCCGAGCGCCAGCTTCGCTGCGATGAACGCGAGTGGGTAGCTGAATGTCACACGGTAACGTCATCACACGAGGGACGTCACGTGCCAAGGTCATCCGACGAAGGTCGCCGCAGCGAGAACAGAACAACGGATAAGTGACGAATAAATGGGAATACTAAATGAACATGTGCATGCACACGTATCTCAGTTGTTGCAGCGACTTGCGGTGTGCGGACACGGGACTTTGTGCGACCGTGTGCGTGTGTGCGCGCGTTTGTGCGTGTGCATGGCAGCTCACCCCGTGGCCTTGGAGGCGAGTGCGGAGCTGCGTGACAGCCGGGCGTTGATCTCAATGATGCAGTACTCGAGTGATGTCGGGTTGAGCGCATACTGGATGTTGCACTCACCAACTATGCCCATGTGCCTCACCGTCTGCAACGATTGCCACGGCAACATCGCTAAACATACTATTGCGTGCCATGAGAGAAATAAATTTGATGAAACCATAATATGAACAGCATTTAATTAGTTTGAAATAACACTCGAAATGGATAAATGAAATTTAAATTTAAAATTTAAATTTAACAATATTAAACATTTATGAAGTAAATGAATTAGAATGGATAAATTAAATTTGAATTTAGTGTCCTACATTGCTCTTATGTTAATTTCCGACTGTCTTACGTTTTAGTGCGAGTAGTAGGCATTTTACACACTAGCCATGACATTTAAGCAACGCATTGTGTTAAAAAATTTGAATGGATTGTGCATAGAATGGCCGCATTGAAGAGAAAGATGACTGAGAACACTGAAGGAATCACTTTGCCATGAAAAAAGCCAGAAATTGTAGGGCTTAGAAATATGTTACATACTTTTATAGCAGTTTCTCGCAGCATGTGGTATTCGTGGTTGGACAAGGTTTGGCTGGGAGCAACAACAACCGAGTCACCTGTAAGAAAATACAAATGCAGCAGGCATTGCGTGTGCTTGACTTCCCAACGTTACAGCCATGATAGACCAGGCTAAAATCCCTTTGTGTTGACCAAGGTTTTACTCAAGATAACAACTCTTTTCATCACGATATGTTAACCAACAATTATTTTACAAAGAAAATGCAGAAATTGCTATTGCATTCATATATATATATATCAAGTGCTCGAAATAAGCGTTGTCGGTGTCCGAAGAAACCAGAATTTGCGCCGGACAACCTAACCAGTCTGAGACATTGTCAGTGGACAAACCAAGAAAAATGTGACGAAAAACGCACTTTATTTATGTTTTTCTCAGGTTCTCCAAGAGCACTTATAGCCTGGCGGCCCGCCATTATCTATGGTGGTGGGAAAGCAATGCCATACCAGCTGCTATTTCCAACACTGGTATATGTCAGGTTTTCTGATTTATGAGAGGTGAATTCAACCGATTTGGAACACAGCAAACCAGCAAGTTCACCCTTACATTTTGGATTTTTATTCCATTATTATTTTGAATTTCGCAGGGCTTTGCCCATGCAAAACAGACAACAGTGGGGATTCATGTTGATCCGAAAGTTAAAAAAGAAGAGAATTGTCGTAGTCAGAATGAAGGCTGTATATGTACTCAAAAGTGCCGCAAATACCATCTCCTGCGATCTACATTTTCAAAATTTTCTGGGGGAGGACCCCCATACCAGGGTTCATAGTAGTAAGACACATGTTGAAATAAGGACTTATAAGACCCTTTCTGGAGGCCAAAATAAGACTTTTATTACGCGATTTCTGATGGATCACCGACTAATAAAGTACACTAATAATATTTATATACACAATTGCAAAGCAGATTTAATTATTCCGTATTATATATACAACAATTCTTACTCTAACTCGAGAACAGTTTATAAAACAATTTATATAAAATATTGTAGGTTGCAAAAAATAAGGACTATTAAGTACTTTTCTAAGATTTCACCAAAAATAAGTACTAATAAGGGCCCTTATTTTATTTTGGGCAAAATAAGTACTTATAAGACTTTGGAAGACCCGCTACGAACCCTGCATACCCCCCGCTTGTTTTTCACCCCCTCCCTGGAATCCTAGATCCGCCACTGAACAATTACATATCTTGGAGCAGAGAACAATGAACAAAAAATGTCGCCTTTTCGCATGGCACCCAAAACAAAGATTGCAGAGAGGTAGGAGGAGCCGTAGAGTGTGGAGAGGGAGACGGAGGAGCCATTATAAGTATTAAGTCATCCACTATTTTGCGCACGTTGCTGTTTTAGCCCCCCCCCCTTGTTACAAAATCCTGGCTACACCACTGCTTTTTGGGGTTTTTTCTGCAATATATTATTAATTTATTATGTGATTGAAAATAGGAGATTTGGGGATATTTTTTTGGGACAACCAGAAATTGTTGCGGACAACCCGATTTGGGGCACATTTTTTTTCTTATTTCGAGCACTGATATATATATATATATATATATATATATATACAATAATTCAGATGCACTCACAATTATTCATTTATGACAAATTTCTATGTTAAATTATAACCATATTGACTGACTCCTTTCCCACTATAATGAGAGCTTTCTGCCATGTCGTACCTGTGTGTATGCCAAGAGGGTCAAAGTTCTCCATATTGCAGACGGTGACACAGTTACCAGCCACATCCCTCACCACCTCATACTCTACCTCCTTCCAACCCAGCAGTGACTTCTCCACCAGAATCTGCTTGGTTGTTTTCAGTGCCTAGGATGAAAGATTGGAAGGTACCAAAATGCCAGGTACGAGAAATGAAATTCACAAGCATGCGCGCACACTCGCACACACAATGAACCAAGCACCAGATAATTCAGGAACCAATTCTCAGATACATCACAAATAGTTATGCCTATCAAATGTCTAGGATGATTATGACTAATGACTATACTGATATTACGACTGATCGAACTACTTATGATATTTCTGCCAATGACCCCCAGGCTACTGAGCGTAAAGTACTATCTACTATGGTATTAGCAATATATATAGCATGTGATGAATATTGTAGCCTTTTCTATACCTAATACTAATAGGCGAAAGCAGACTACACAAAACTAGCTACCTCTCCAGATCAACCCCGAACAAGTTCATTGTTTCTTCTCAGACATAACCAACAACAACAATACATCATCAAGAACAGTAGGTTAATTAGATCTGCTCTGTGGGAAACATCTGCATACTTACGGCTGTAGCCAGCTGTTTCAGTTGATCGGGGTTGTTGACGAGACCCGACCCTAGACCACCAAGTGCGTACGCAGACCGCACCATTAACGGATAGCCGATCTTCTCTGCAGCCTTAAGTGCTTCATCGACCTGCAATCATACCCAGACGCTCGTGAAACCAGGTGAGAGGCAAGCCATTCTCCCGCAGAATCTTTCATGAAAACGTTTAGCAATGACAGGGTGTGATACTGCAAAACTACCGGTACGTCTGAGATCTCAACATGAATATTATGAATTCCTCGTTGAATATATATCATTCGATGAAATAATACTAGTGTCATTCGGTAACCTTTCTATATTGATCATAAGCAACTTATTGACCATTAACAGGCTTGTGGGACATGATGTCGCAACCCACAACTCAACCCCAGCTGCAACACACATTTACCCAATGTGAAAAACAACAGAGCATCATCCGCCCATGGCGCCACCTTGTGGCACGTACTGACTCACCGTGGTGACGGCTGTGCTGGGTGCAATCTTCTCGTTGATCTCCTGCATCTTCTTTGCGAAGATGTCTCGATCCTCGGTGGCGATCACCGAGTCTATAGGAGTGCCGAGCACCTCCACCCCATGCTCCTGCAGCACCCCATTCTGCCACAGTGCCACTCCTGTACGATAGAAACACGCCTGCTATACCATGTAGAGAAGAAGAGATGGAGAGGAGGGAGGGAGGGAGTGATGAAGATGGAGGGAGGGATGAAGAGGAAGGAGGGAGCGATGAAGGGGAAGGAGTGCAGAGGGAGGAAGGAAGGATAGAGAAATAAGAATTGCAAGATGGCAGGTGGTGTGTAATAAATAAAAAAAGGGACGAAAAGGGTATAAACAAACGAAGGGAACAGATCGAGGTATAAATAAAAAATAAAAATAACAAGAGCCGCAGAGCGTCTGGGCTCATCTGAGGTCTGTTGCTACGGTTATAAACGTAACATTTAAGTCGTGCGTAGTGACACCTTTGTTAGGTGCGCAGATATGCACATACGCAGTTGCGTACACATCATTTCAGCAACCTTCTGCATTCTGCATACCTTCCCAATCCCATTGGTTGATACAATTAAATCGCGTGCCTGAAACTCCTGTTTTATGGTGCATTGTGACCCTAACCCTAACCCTAACCCTATTAAACAAACAAAAAATTAATTGTTGTAAAAATTATTTGTTATTATTAAATTGTTGAAAATAATTAAATCATGTAAATATTTGCATTAATTGGAAAGAAATAGTTAAATGGATAAAAATAGAAAAATACATAAAACAGGTAAATAATAACAAGTGCCGCGGAGCGACAGCGCTCATCTAACGTCTACTGCGGTGACTCTATGGTGGAGTGGTGGGATTCTAGTAAACCCTGTTAGTCCCAAATGTGTTCACATACCAGGGGTCGAAATTAGATTTTTATTATGGTATCCATTCGGGATACCAGGTATTGAAATCTGGTATCCCCCCAAAAGATCTGGTATCCCGGATTTTTTTGGATAGTAATTTCAACAATGTTGGTATCCAAAATCTTGAAATATGCAATAATAGCATTTGAAAATTATTAATGTTGTGGC